TAAACATTTTCTCAAATGTTCAGGTTCTTCCGTGTATCTACCACATATAAAATGATCATTTTGCTTTAGTTTACATTTTTTCCATTACCAAAATCATGTAGCAGACGCGTCGGCCGATGCGTCTTGTCTCCGGGTGACGTCACTACCAGCAACCAATGGCACGCTTTTTCCGTTCCTGACCTAACCTTAGTATATTAAAGAACCTTGACTCTAAACATACTCTTTCTCTTTTTTATATATTTAAGGATGCCCCTTGGTGAAAATTGGCGAATTTTGGAGATTGGCTAGCAAGGCTCCATTTCAAGATGGCCACTACACAAAACCAAACTAACAAAATTACTTTGATCTTGTGGTGTTCGATCTATTTGCACTTAAAAAAAGGGGGGGATTGCACAAATTTGGCATTGCGCACTTACTTGACTTTGTCCAAGAACACATTGATCTATTTTCCTTAAAAATCGCAGGAGCACTCAAAAATTTGTTGTTATTGCTTATGCTCACTTGTCCAACACAGTCAGCCCAAGCTCACAAAATACCTCATGGCAAGAAGCACTAGAATACGCCTGTCGTTGGCAACAGCCTTGAGCACCATTCAGGTGACAGTGCAATTTTGCTCAGTTCTGCTCCCAAATTTTGATAGAGAGCACCCTCCCGGGGATGTGTCCGAGGGTCTCTCCCCTTCCACCAAATCACACGAGAGGACTTTCGGCTCGCCACCATGCTGCACCTACACTATACGTTTATAAACATCCATACCTTCTCCGGTATTCGAAAACCCGGGCCCTTCGGCACAGCAGTCGGCGATGCTAACCACTATACCCAAAATATATAATTTCAATAAACTGCATTTTAAATCAATGAATGAAACAAATAAAAAAAGCACTACGTACTACACAACAGAGATATCCACTTACCTTATTTAGAAATTTGTGTGTCTTCAGTCTGCGGCACACAAAATTTCTTAACAGCATACAAAAACTTTTCTAAACCATTTTTCCTTCCTAATGGAACGCTTTATACAGTGTTGAACCTTTCTTGCGGCAAAGCCATTCGAATAATCTTTACATTCGATGATATGCATTTCCTTCATACAAACAGGAGACTTATAATTCCGTTGAATTACATCAAACAAAATTTCTTTTCTTCTGTCCTCAACCACTTCCCCCTCAAAAAAACTTCCATTCTCTTGTTCTATACCAACAAACACCTAGTTTACCACCGGTAGCCATTTTATAATGCAAAGCACACAATACGCAATGCACAAACAAGCCCTTAAAAATATTTTCCCATCAATCAAATTCACTGCAATCATACAACGAATTATGTCATAATAGGGTTTCCGGAACTACTCTGGTATGCGCTCTCAAGTCGCCAAATATTTTTGGCGAGAAACTTCACACTGCCATATTACTATCTGAATTTTTTGTCTACCTTTTGAACGTTTAGCCTAATATGTCTCCAAAAACGCGGTTTTCGCACATGCAAAAACTACGTTTTGAACACACAATTTAGCTAAAATCCGAAACAAAAAAAAAAAAATTAGATAGCAAAAACGTAAAGTTTCTAACCAAAAATATTTGAGAATCCATGTACACAGCGACATGTTTTACCTTAAAAAAAACATCTAATTGCACAATGTGGCAAACGAACGAATCTACAACTACGCACACCTCGCTTTAAAATTAACATAACAACAACAAATTTCAAAGAATACATGTACACAGCATCCTGTTAAACTTTAAAAAAACGAATTGCACAATTTAGCAAGGAAGGAATCTACGATCTACGCACTCCTCGCTTTAATATAATAACATAACAACTAAATTTCAAATAATAAATGTACCAGCGTTCTGTTTCAAACTTTAAAAAACATCTATGAATTCGTAGTGCTAGACACTAAACAACAAATAAACTAAAAATAATTTCAAACAACTGAAAAAAAAAAAAAAAAATAACGACAGAATTCATACTAAAGAACCAATGAACATAGCATTCTACAAAATAAGAACAAGGATAAAATAAAATGCACTTACCATGATTAATGCGTTTTCGAATGCAGAAATATAAATTTCATACTGCCTTTAACATGCTGCCCGTAATCTATCGTATTTCATGAAGCCAGACACACTATCCATAAAATTTATACTATGGTCATAAATAAATAAAATCACAAATCCCTACTTCTATCATGCACTGCCATTAAAAATAATCTCCCAGACTCTTTCCACACTTCCAAATACCACTACCCCTCAACAGGATAGCCACAATCATATTTCCTTTTTTTGCCGAACTTCAATTCAACAACTACCATTTTATCTTTCCCTCCGGGGATTCTCAGACACAGAGGCGAATCAACGAGGTTAGAATATCTCCAGCGAAAGATTTTTCAACATTAACAGGGTTGCCATAGGACACACAATCGTGCCAAAAACCAGCGCAGTACACATAGCGCCACATTTGATGAAATTAGGGCGTATATCAGAGTTGTACCGGGTTTCCATAACATTCAACTACTCAGGTTACCATAAATGAAACAACTTGGCAATAATCTAATGGGCACCCTAAAATATAGGCTAACCAATTTTTTTGCTTTTTAAATTTACTGTTTGCTCTTTTAAGAAACTATTAATGAATCACTATCTAGAAACTGGGTCATGCCTTTAGCAAAAAATTCTGAATACCACCAAGAGGTATTCTGCTGTAGAAAGAATCTCATTTCTCTGGAAAGTTGCCAACAAGTTTGTGGATGCTCTCCAAAGTCACCAGTATCAAAAGCACTACATATCTGCATAAAATTATAGTGCTATTTAAACACACAAGAAAAATTAATAAAACTTGATGGCCAAAAGCAAAATAACCAAGTATATTTGATAATCAAAGAATATTTTAATATTTTCTGACTATCTGCACATAAAAAAGTCATGAAAAAGTATTCACGAGGCAAAGCTGTATGACACCAAAATAGTTAGGTGGCAACACATGCATCTATGTATCGCATGTCTATTTTGGTCAGTGTACAATGATCGGAATTATATATGGATGATGAATTTTGAAGTTTCTCCAAGTAAAAACAGATCACTATGTACACAAGAACAGTGGGAAAAAAAAAAAATAAAAAATTCTCAAAAAAGCAAATACTTTATTACTAATGCTTTTTTTTTTTCTTCTTAATTTTATTGATTGACTGCTCTTATAAGGAATTCTTAATATGATGGGTTTATTTTGAGAATAACTAATGCCTAAGCATTAGCTTGGTAGAAAATTAACTGTCAACAAGTTTGACTTTTTGGCACAGATCTGGTAATCAGAACACATCAAATTGCAAACCACTTTTGTAAAAATAGTTTTCATACTAGTTAATTATCTCAGCTTGGCATTTTAGATTTTTTACTTGTTAATTATTTTAACTTCTGATCTTGTGTATAAAAAAAAATCTGCTTCCAAGTAGAGTTTGTCGAGATTTTAGAGCAAGACAGATCCTCGTAATTTGTACCAATTCTCTTCCCTTCTTAGAGATAACAAATCAGTAATAAACCAATGTTTGTCATTATGGTAAAACACTTAAAATGCATTAAATCTAAAACTTAGCTGCATGAAAGCAGCTTCTCTTAAAGTAAGCTATAGTATTCACTAAATTTAGCTGATAACTATATAATGCATGCAAAAAAACTAATCCTATACAGGCATGTCCCAGTTAAAGAATACAGGTTTAGTGACATTTGCTATTCTACTACTCTAGAATCTACTTGCAATTCTCAAAGCTTAAAATTAAATTTCATGAAGCATAAATAATGATAAAAGCAAAATCATTAAAAACACAAACTTAATTTGAAAAAAAAAAATGTGTACTTCTATCTTAAATTTGGTAGATACATCAAGAGATTTTTCAATAAAATAATAAATCACAAATAACGTTTTCCATAAAAATACGAATTTCAGAGCAACGGTAAAATCCTAGGAGAGCCCACACCCTTGGCGACAAACTGGGAAAGTGCAGAATCAACCACTGCTTTGTGCGATTCTCAAAATCACCAACTTGAAAATAACAAGTCAAAAAATTGCACAAGCTCGGCATCCATGTACACATCGACCTATTTTCACTTTAAAAACATCCCAGAATTGCACAAACTTGGCATCGCATACTCCCTTGACTTTGTCCATGTACACACGATACACACCATCTAAGCGGGTGCGCCAAGGGTGTGGGCTCTGCTAGGATCCAACCCAGAGCAACCTTGTAAGGGTCATTTAGAATACAATAAGTAGATAAAAATATATATACTCATCATGCAGACTTTTTCTTTTTTTATTATTATTTTTAACCATAAAGTTCAAAATTATTTTTGTAAAACGTTTTTAAACATGCTTTAATTCTAAAAAGCATAAATTTTATACTTAAAAATAATTACAAAGTTGACGTTTCATTCATGCTATGGAAAATCAAAACTCCTGTCATTTTTGTTATCACATGGTCTGACTCTAAACTTCAATACTCTCATAGTATGATTAATACAGTATTTGAGAAACGAAGACCAATAAATTTATTTACTACTAATCTTTTTAAATAGTCCAACAATCAAATTTGTAACACTATTGCGAACTTGTCGCTCAACAGGTTTCGAATCCTGAATAACGGACTGGCCACATTGGTATTTGTATGGCATTCCTTGTGTATATATTAATACAAGCCAATTTCTTTAGCAAATCTTCCATGAAGGAATCATTCCTGTTATGCAATAAGCTCTCATACTTTGTATTATTGATTAATCAATCCTTTTAAACATGGTTCGTTGGACATAAATATAAGCCGATATTCTTTAGAATCGAGAAACATGCATTTAAAAGGATCAACAATAAATAAATATCTTCCATATATGCACACCTGCATACATTTTAAGGTGGAAACACTAAATTGGTTTTACATACATACACAATTACATAAAATAATACTATTTGTACATGCATTATAATATGTAAAAATATGGAAACATTTTACTTACTTGATTTGCTTTGCATATAACACAAACCCAATCTTCAGATGGAACTTCTTCTAATGGAGGGTCAAGGCACGCTAAGTGATAAACAGCTGGACATGTTTCACAGCACAAAAGATCTCCAAGCTTGTGGCAGGCCCGACAATGATCATCGTGGTATATCATACCTTCACTGATTAAATCATCTCTGGCAGGGGATGTTATGAGAAAATTATCACAAAGAAATTCTAGAACTATCAAACGATTTTTGACAGATGTAAATGGGTATTCACAATTTTTAACAACATTGAGAACATCTTTGTATTCTGGATCACTTTGCAAATACATTTGCAACACAGCTGGCCATGTCATACTATCTATTAAATAAAAATGAATATTCACAGTGTCTCTCATATCTAATGGAGCAAACATTGTGCTCTGTGCTTCCTCCTCTCGCAGTATAGCTTTTAAAAGCATAATATGTACATCAGAAAGTAATGCAGTTTGATCTGAAGAAGAAAGCGCTGCACAAAATTCTTCGAATAAAAACGGAGTGAGTCTCAAAATGTTTCTAAAATGGCGAAGCACTTCATAAACTCCCAAAGCTTGCATAAGATGTTCTTTAGATAGCAATAAATCATCACTAGATTTTGGAAGTACTAATTCTGGAAATTCTCTATCCTGAAGAAAAATCGGTGTTGTTGCTCTTCTACACCATTTCCTTTTTGCTGGTGTTGTGCTTGATATTGTGCTGAAACTACTTTGTGAGTAAACACTTAATTCATCCGATTCAGGAAAACTTGCATCAGATTCATTTCCTTCATCTTCCACTTCATCATCATGTTGATACTCACTCTCATCGCTAGATAAATTTTCGTCAATTTCATCTTCTCCATCATAGTCTAAAATATTTGAAAAAAAATTGCGTCCTCTGTTTGACTTTTCTCGTAATCTGCCACGGTAATACACGTGAGATCCCCTACGTGACGGACTACTTTCACCTGGTTTAGCCTGTAGACGTGAACCATGATTACCGGAGCCAGCGTATAAATATCGGGGTTTTTTTAGCAAATTAGCCCTATGCGAAATGGCTGCTCTCTTAGGCGGTCGACCACGGCCTCTTCTACCTCTTCCAGACATATCCAAATGATATTACTTCGACAAAACGTCAAAAAAGATCACTTGATTATATTTTTGAAATCAATATGGCCTTGCATGAGGTTAACTAATTTGTATAAGTTCTCAAAATCAAAATATTTCTGTCCGCCATTGTTGCTATAAGCTTTTCGTATAGTCACGTGACCAACGAATGACAACGTCGATTCAATTTTGCAGTCAAGTTACACATTTTAAGGCATTAATTTCACCAAAAGCATTATAAACAAACAGATTTACTTAATCTGATATTAATCAGTGTTACCTGGAAATAAAATGCATCCAACGACACGAAAAATACGTTATTCACACGATACACTGTTCGGAGCAATCCATAGCGTTCCCAGAACAAGCTAACGGTTAAGAGCCTTTATCTCATTGGTGGATAACAAGCATCTCAAAGGAGGTCTTGTAATTTTCTAGTCTTTCGTTTACACTTCGCTCATATTATTCTGTGCTTTTCATGCGGATAACGAGTGCACGCATTTAAAAATATTTACAAACCGTACAATGATTTGTTATTTCCAAACAACAAAAATAACCATTCGCCATCTTTGATGCTCATTCCTGTCAGCCAATCAGAAACCGTCTTAATCACCCAACCATTTGCAGAATGTGTACACAAACTGACAATATTTTACGGAATATGATGAAAAAAAAGTTCTGAGCATAATTAATTCAATTTTAATACGTTATTACGTTTTTAGTAGAGTGAAGTTAGATACAAGTTTTATATGATAATATTTCCTTGAAATCAAGATGAAAGATACGAGAGTATTCTACAGGTAATCCTCCAAAAAACACAATTTCAGCTATATGAATTTTCGCGGTATTTACTAGTGATTTGACGTGAAAAAGTAAACAAAAAACAAAACAAGAGCCAGGTTAGGCCTTGCATTTTTAAGTTTAAATAATTATCTTGACCGTGTTTTACAATAAAATTTATCTGAAAAAAGAAAGGAAAAACATGAAAAATTTGTTTCCCTAGTGGATCTAATTCTTTCTTTAACTTTAAATTTGAGATTTTTTAGTAACTGCTAAAATTAAACTTCAAATTTTTAATTGTTATGTATGAGGTTGCACAATTTTGTTAGGGGTGTAGAATTATGTTTTTTAGGGTTCAGTAATTTATTTATATGAGAAAAGTATTTTCGTCTTCACTGGATAGAGAGAAAATTCTCGTATCAATTTTTTTTTTTTTCTTTTTTTTCTGCCAAATAACTAGACGGGTCGATATTCATTTCCTTTCTTTCTCAAGCGATTGTTTACATTTTCCACAGTCTTTTTTTTTTTTTTTAAATTTTATAAATTAAACTGCTTGATCTGATAAAAAAATCCTTTTGCAGATTAGTAATATACAGGATTATCCAAATTAAACTTCCCCAACTCAGAGCCCTGTGCAGAGTGTTGTATGGGTCATAATGGGACGAAAATTTAAAAACAGACACTTCAGATCATGCGCTCGAGATTTATTACACAAAAAAATTAGTCTACTTACTGAAGTATGCCGATAACCGAGGCCGCTGTAACACTAGTAATGTGCATATTGCAGCAACGTGATTTGCAGAAATAAAGCTTCTGCGCAACGTATCCAAAAGACGAGCCCTACGAAAGTGGTAGACAGGCCTTGCACAGGCAGTTAATGAAATAGACATCTGTCTTGTCTCTGAAACGTACGAACTCCGAGCGATAGGTTAACAATTAAAAACTATAGATCTTTTCGCTGTGATAGGTTACATCACAGGGGGGGAGGCGTTGTCATATATGTTCATTGTATAAATTATCATCTTGCTTATTCGCAACAAATAGAGCTCACGGTTACGAAATTGTTGTGGTCTCAGTGCAGCTTCCCAGTTATGGACGTACAAACTTCGCTGCAGTCTACAATCCCCCAGATAATAAACTTACTCCTAATAATCTTGCCAGCATCATCCCAGATGATGCTTCTTTTATTGTAGGAGGTGACTTCAACAGTAAGCACTCTGACTGCGGGTGCAGAAAGACAAACTATAATGGACTAATTATGCGAGATTTTATAGAAAATCATCCAGTTGCCATTTTTGTACCGAATTCTCCTACGTATAGGCCACTTATTACTGGCCATACTCCCGACATCCTGGACTTTATTATTTCGAATGCGGGCATCAGCATGACTATGCAGGTGCATGAAGCGCTCACTTCTGATCATCTTCCTATTGTGGCCACCTTAGGAATTTTTAATTTTTAATGAACCCACTGATAAGTTCATCCCCCATACTGATTGGAGACTTTTTCATAATATAGTCAAGAAAAGACTCCCGAGATTCAATCCACTAAAAAGCGTTGCAGACATTGGTATGGAAACTGGAAATTGATATGTTCACTTACTTGTCTGAAACGATGCATACCAAGAGGCCACAAAAGTAATCCTGCAGACTAACAATATTACAAGGCTTCCAGAAATATTCAGAGATATTCGACAGCTAATTAAACAGAGAAACAGGGTCCAGGAAGTGCTGGAATCTCTCCTGCGAACCTGCAGTCAAAAATGAACTGAATCGCATCAGCAAGAATATTAAAAAAGCAATCCATGATTTTAAAAGAGAAAAATGGGATGATAAGATTGAGAAATTAGAGTCGCACAGTGACTCGTTTTGGAGCTTTACGAAAAATCTCAAAAAGAAGTCAATTACCCACAATGGTCTTGTTGTCTACTCTGATGCTGAAAAATGCAAAATCTTTGCGAATCATATAGAAATACAATTTTCACCCAATTCAAGCCCTGTGAATGTCAACTTTGCCTCCGTAGTGAAAAATAAGCTTAGACTGGCTTAATGAACCAACTGCAGTTAATATCTTTAGTCTCACCTCCCCAAATGAAATTTTAAGCATTATCAAGAAGCTCAGGCTGAGAAAAGCTCCCGGTATAGATGGAGTCAGTAATTACATGCTTCGTAACTTGCCCCAGAATGCAGTCTTTAAACTTGCAGGAATATTCAACGCTTGTTTTACTCAGTGCTACTTCCCGCAGCATTGGAAGATTGCAAAGATTTTACTGCTTCCGAGAACAGCCAGCAACCTTGGCACTCTGAAAGACGCAATTATTCGACATGTTCGTGGAATTAATGTGGACTTACTGCGTTTTGCTGTGGAACACACTGCTTTGCCAATGGGAAGAGTTGTGGAGAACCACGGCTTACATATAGAACATGTGTAGAATGTCTTGTTGATCTGCAGCGCCACATATCGGCAACTTCTTGTACTAATTTTTTTAATAAATCTCGAGCGCATTATCTGAAGTGCCTGTTTTTAAAATTTTATCACATTATGACCCATGCAACACTCTGCACAGGCCTCTGAGTTGGGGAAGTTTAATTTGGATAACCCTGTACTTTGAAGCTTATGATATTTTGAATGTTTGTTAAGAATCAAACCTAGAAAATAATTAGTAGCCATATTTCGGTGGAACATTTTCAGATATTACTCTTAACATATGAATTTAATGATCAGAAATATGACTATTTCATTACTGTTTTAATAGCTTGCTTAATGTTCGCCATATAGTCTATGAAGCCCTTGTCCGAATTATTTTGCTGTTTCACTAGAAACTGAATAATTACATCTTAACACATTAAATGCAATGCATATCTCTATTAGTGATTTACATTTATCTTCGGATTATTTGTATTGGAAATAATTTTATAGATCTTACTGTCTTCGTCTTTTCTAGTACATTATATTTTGACCTCTGTTTTAATTGAAAGGTCAGATACGTCTAAATGCAGACGAACCTTGCTTTGGATCTTCAAGGAACTGGGTGATTTGGTTCAGGCTGTGTTTACCCGTCGGCTCAGGCAAACTCGAAAAAGTTCCCAGAAAGGGCGCCCGCTTATGATCGCTAACCCGGCATAATGATGGTTGATTTTCGATTCCTTGAGTTGTATGAGCACTTGGGATAGGAAAATAAGACACTAAAAGTCCAACGGGAGAAAGTCCATATATGCGATGTACCATATGAGAGAGTCCGAACGAAAACACCTGCGGCAGGTAAGTGCGTAAGTAATGAACGTGCATATGCAATTAATATGGCAGAGTATTAAAGAAAAGCCTAGTATTGCTCTAGTATAAGAGAGTCCTAATGGCATCGTGACATACGTGGGATACATACAATTCCAGTACAACAAATACATTGGAAATATAAGAGATATGTAATATTTACAAAGTATAGTAGTAGGTAGGAACATTTTTGAGACCAGATAGGTCTTACGTCTAATTACCAGCTAGCTTTACATTTTCTTTTTCAATTTATATTTACAAAGTAAGTATATATAATATTTACATAATATTTACAAAGTAAGTATATATGCAGCAAGAGTACCAGAGAAAAGACAATTTGTAATGGGATGATGCACAGGAGTAATAAGGTAATAACAAGGTATAAGTGACAGGAACTAGGTTAACTAGTTGCATGAACTAATAAATAAATAAGAACAGAGTTAATTGCTGAGGTATCTTAGGACCGCAATCGGATTCATAATTATAAGAGAGCACCGGAAGGGTGCTGTTACACACTTCTGGAATCTTATTAAAAAATTTCTCAGCAAGTTTTACCATGTAACAATTAAGTTCAGGGGTATCTAGCTCACGATGAACTGCCGAGTTTCGAATGAACCATCGACAGTTCACCGTTTGGCCTGAGTACAATATTTTGCAGAACTTGTAGTTTCATCAGGTTAGTTTTGCAGGCGTATCCCCAAACAGGGCAGGCATAAGTCAGAATGGGATGCAAAAGGGTCGTGTAAATAAGTAATTTATTATCAATAGATAGAACAGAGTTCCAGTCAATAAAGGGGGTAAGGGTTCGTTTACGGACACGGAACTTGGCAACAATCTGTGTTATGTGTGGGGACCACGTGAGTTACCTGTCTAAAGATCAGCTTCGTCTAAGATGACTCCTATTGGGCCTGCCTAGTCCCCTGGATAGGAGTATTTCAGATCTGGATGCAGGTGTTTTCGTCCATATTTCTTCTCTTGTGAAAAAGGACTAGTTGCGCTGAGACACTTTTAAGACGCACTTTGATTTCTGCGCATTCCGACTAGTCATGAAGAAATGTTTGTTTACATTTGTATTGATTATAGAAGGACGATTTGTTTTTCCGTCTGAATTAGAATGACAAGAAAAGTTGTTACTTTTATTTCGTTTTAATGAATAATTGCTGTCATTCTTTGATAGATATCTAAAACTTTACATAAAACTAAGAATTATAGATATAGTTGAATATTATTAATGTTTTCAATTCCTAACAATTTCCCATTTTATGCAGATAATCAGCCTTTCTTGAAATTCTAATCAACAGATTTATATAAATCATACATGCAAGCAGTAAAATATCATTTTTTGGAAACGGAATTGAAAAATAAAATAATCTTTAAACCTTGTGTAACTTTTCTATCATGCGTAATTCAATATTTGTATAAAACTGCATACAAAAGCAAGTAAAGAGGTAGAGTGTTGAGGGGATTTGATTACAGAAGTTTTCTGAATAGCAAATGTAAACAAACCAGCCAGCTATTTAAAAAAC